GGCCATGTGGACAGTTCCACCACAGTTCCAACAACGTCGTCGGTCATCCTTGATGTCGTGCGAGTAGGTGCACGACTTTCCTCTTCTGCAAGTCTGCAAACCTTGGTCGGACAAGAAAAAATGGCATCGACCTTTTTCTTTGTCCTTGTGAGTGGCTTCTCTTCTCTCACCACCTTCTTTCTTCTGGGTTGAGCTTTCTGCGAACTTCTTGATCTTTGGAACTTCAGCTCCCCCTCCAGGTTCCTTCCTTTTGGATTGATGCCCCAGCTGTTCAAGCTCTGCCAGGACATGCTCACTGTACTTCGTGATGGAGTTGTGAGTCAGAATAGAGTCCACAAGCAACGAGCTGGTGATTCGGCTCAATCCTCTTGCCAGGATCGTTGGGCCTGATGGAAACTCCACACCCCATCTTCGAAGAACTAGGACTCCGCTCTGAATGGTCGCGCGCTCAGACGGAGCTTCCAGCGCTGCTAGGATCGCCTGTCTTTCTGTCAGCCCTCCAGGTTGGTAGGCCACCATTCCTTTCGTGAGGATACCGAAGGTGCTTAGGCTTTTGCTTGTCGCAATCTCTTCTCGAAGAGCTTCAGGCACTGCTCCACGGAGGAGAGCTGCGGCTCGTCGTTCGAGCCTGCCCCATTTCTTTTGTTGCAGCTTGCTGCTAGGAACTGCTCGATGGGATAGTCGCTCAAAAGGTGTCTTCGACAGGTGCAACCTATACCACTCACGGGCTTCTTCTACATTCATATTCCACCACTCTTCTGAAGATGCTGAGAGGTCACTGATGAGAGGAGTTAGCACCAGCAACCAGTCTGCGAAGTCGATAGGCCCCGTCTCACATGACCACTTGGCCAATTTTGGGAGTTCGACACTCGATCGAACAGTTTTAGGGTCGATCTCATTGCCATGACCACCCTTCACCTTTTTCTCTTGAATCTTCTGCATGCCTTCCACCAGCTTCAGAATCACCGTCAAGGTCTGCTGATGGACATCTTCTTCACCTTTTGTTTCAGACTTCCTTTTTGAAGCCCCTCTTCCCTTCCCCGTTGAGCTCGGGTCAGGATTCTTGCTTCTGCTTCACCTCTTCCTTCTTTGGAACCACGGTCTTCTTCTTGATCATGGATTCCATTGGGGATGGCAAAAACAACTAACTTCTTGTTCTTGTCGCTCGACCTGCGTTGTCAAACCATTCACTGTTCCTTTCAACTTCACATTTTCATCCATCAACAGGCGAAGCTGTTGTCGATGAAGGACTGCTTCCGCCTCCGTCATTGAGGCCTTGTTGAGGTCTTCCTTCAACTGCTGGTTTTCCATCATCAGGTATTGCAGTTGTCGAGAAACTTCTTCTGTGGGATCCCTCCCAAAACTTACCATTTCTTCGGCTCTTTTCTTTAGCCTTTTTACCCGCTCTTCTTCTTCTTCTTCCTCTTCTTCTTCTCTTCTTTCAAGCTCGACTCTCTCTTCTTCTTGCAAAAAGTCGGGTCTTGCGAGAATCGACGGGTCGGGCGTCTGGAATTGTGAGGTGCTGTACAGCCAAGGCGCTTGCCGGTACATTTCATGAAGACCACGAATTTGCTCCCTGCTGAACAACGGCGTATTATTGGCCTCCAGGTGGAGTTGCAAGGTCGAAGCTCTCAGGCGCTCCTTCCGCCAGTCCACTTGCAGAGACCGGCTTTGGTGTTTCTTCGTTCTCTTTTCCTTTCAAACCATTTCCCTTCCCTCGGACGGCGTCTTCAGACCCAGGCGCTTTCGGTCCAAACACCTCAGGTGTTTTGACAGGTGTTGAACTGCTGGCCACCTTAGATCGACCGTCCTCAGTTGACGGGACAGTTGTCGAACCTGGAGTACGACTGAGCTTTTCCCGAGTCTTTCCAGCTTCTTTAGCTTTTGGCTTTGGTTCCTGTGGAATGTCTTCCAGAGGGAGTTCTCCTCTTTGTTCCGCTTCCTTTTCCATTTTTTTGGGCCAACAGCATATCTCGCTGGCCTTGCTGGAGTTCTTTTTGCGTTGCCTTTCTTCTTGTTTGCATTGTCTGCCCACTGCTCATCTTCTTGCGCTCTAGGTCAGCTGTTTGGGCTCATAACCTAGTGTACTCAAACACAAGGCCTTGCAACTCTTCAGAAATGCAGCGCAGGCCGCTAAACGTCACTGATAGCGGCCGGCCTATCTTTTCTCCTTTCAGTTGGGTGCTTGTGCATCAATGGGTAGCTACGTGATTCGAACATGCCCTCCGAACTCGTCGAACTGTGCAAAAACGATCGACCGACAGCTCTGGGGTCTTTCAGCTTGATTCATGGCATTCTGACCTGGAAATCGTCTTCAAAAACGCTTCTTAAGACTCAACGATTTCATTGCGCCAAGCAAATTTTCAAGGGGGTAGTACACCAGCGCAGGGTATGTGAATAATATCAATTGTTTAGGGGGTGGGATTAATAAGCAAACTTGGAGCCCTACGGGAAAAACTAACCTTGTTATTGTTCTGCTATTGCTGCCCTTTCAAGCCCTTACTTATCTCTTCTACTACTACGACTACGACGACGACGACGATACTCTTCAACCCCCCTGGATTGTTTGCTAGGGGTGTGTTTTGCTAATTAAGATCAAACATGACAAAAATTGTGTATAAATACATCTACAAACAGTATATTTTAAACAACTATATATATATATAAATACAGTATATAATATGTGTGCGTGTGTCGGCAAATGCTCCATGGCCAGCCTACTGCATGATCATTTTTTGCAAGCTACATCGAGCAGGCGGTATGCCGAAAAGAAACTGCGGAGGTCATTGTTGAGTTGAATTGAAGTCACCGCCCGTGGTCTACCAGTGCGTGACCAGTGCGGAAAGCTTAAGTGGATATGGCTGCGCCCACAAAGTGAGCCATTGACCACTTGAGTCTTTGCCTAAAATAACCACGCACCGTTTTCTGGAATGACGCTGGGCAAGTTTTACCTTCAAATCATCTAACACCAGAAGCCTGTAGCCTGTAGGCTTCAATGGCGCGCCATGGGCGACTGCGCCGAAAGAAAACGAACCTTGAAGTTGGGCTGCCGGCCACAATCTCCTACTATATAAGCCTTCGAGCGCCCATGGGCAAGGCTGATGAAGAAAAGGGTACCATCAAGAAATTGATGTTGCATCTGTGCGGCTGAGGATGTCTGGCCCACGAGTCCATGCGTGTCATTGGGCAGCAATGGTGGACCACCATGGAGCCTACTGTACGCTCTTGACTGCATGAGGCACATGGAACGGGGCGCCCAAAAGAGCGCTATCCAAGGACAAGTCATGTCGGAAGCCCACAGTCGCAATCACATCTCTCCATCTGCAAATGGGATGTCTTTGCGTGTCTGCATTCATGCGTACCTGTACATGTCCAGCCTTTGCTCAGAATCTCACCGTCTGCAGAAGCGGATCAGCACATCCAGAAACATACAAGACACAGATCGTAAACCATTGTTGGCGACACTTCAAAGAGGCGCTCAGCCCAGTGTGAGTAGTTACTGGAAGCGGGGACAGGACCTTTGGGCAAACGCAGGGTCCGTTGCCCAATGGTTCCCGTCGAAAGATGGTTTTTCGTTCAACGAAACTGGAACATCGCTGGAAAAACGTCTCAGCGGGTCTAACTTACTACGTCTAAGTCTACTTTTCACGCACACAACTCACACTGCTACATGGTTGCATCTTTGCTACAAGTGCTACAAGTCTCTGCCTCCAGCATCTGTGCTACAGGGGTCCGTGTCCACAAAATTGTTAGCCCTGGGAACTACCTTTCTGGTGTTTTGTATGTTTTTTGTTGTCACATGGATACACACAAATATAGTGCAAAGGATGGATGCAGACACTTGTCACCCTTTTTGTGTTTTGTGAGTGCTTTGTATGTTGTAGTTGTCATATGATACAGACACTTGTGGGCCAGATGATGTTTTGTGTATATACTGGTGCCCGTTGAAGTTAATACATTTTGCAGGTGGGGTACTAAACCACCATGGAACGCCCATTTGCAAAAGTCAGCACTTAAGTCAAGACTGCTGGCCTCCCCATTGTAAACGCCACATGCAGAACAAGGCTCTCCAGATCCACCTTTCCAACAAAAAAGGGCTTCAACTGCAATTCCCATTGTCAACCCAATTTGGAGAGCTACCCGACGTGGTAAATTACCCCATCGCACATGAACTTGACCCACCCCCATGGCACACTGCTTACCCCACGAATGTAAGAACTTACCCCATTTGGAAAACACAATGGCACACCGCTTCGAAACAAGCACTTTTTCTCGAAACAGCAATCAGCCAGCAGCAGCAGCAGCTAGCAGCAGCTGCAGCAGCCAACCGCCAGCAGCAGCAGTAGCCAACCAGCAGCAGCAAGGCAGCAGCAGCAGAAAGCCAGCAGCAGACCGGCAGCACCAGCGAAGGTAGCCCAATCAAGCTTTCCCCCAGGGCACACCTCATCTGGCACAAGTTCATGCCACTCCATAGTGTGCCCGCTTCACAGCGGAAGCCAGGTTTCCCCGAGGACCCTGCTTCCGAGGGTTGGCCCTATAAGCCCTTGGAGGGTTGGACATATGAGAGCCACAATCCCAAGATGAAGGGGAACCTATGGGCTGCCTATAGAAACCTCTAGAAACAACCTATGGGTTGCCTGCCAACTTCCTTGCGGTAGGTCTTGTGCAATCAAAACACTGTGAACGCTGAGTAAAACAAGCCCATTGAATAAAACCATGCTTTTAGAAAACATCTTCCAGCACACTCTATCCTGCAAGTAAACGCTATGGTGTTTCGACTTCCTGGTTTGCTCATCACCTTCTATCTGCTATTTGAACAAAAAACAGTATGTATATCTATAAGTACAGTCACAAAGGGAAACAGTACAGTAAATATCATTGTGACTTGTCGTGTACCATGCTCAACCATTATCTTCGTTTGTCAAGTAAATATACCACGCTCTCAATGAGGTGTGAACCTCACATCCTGCCCCGAGAGTCGCCAATAGCAGCTGAGTTGCTTCAGGTTGTGGCACACAGCCGTGATGCCTTTTCTGTAGTTTGGTATCTTCTTGGCGCACGGGTTTCCCTTCAGGTAAAGCACCCGCAAATCTCCCATCCGCACAAAAACCTGGCAAGTTCAGCTGGCCAACTCTTCAACCACGTCCACAGCATTCCACATACGCCAACATTGCCAAATCCAGCCTCTGGAAGAACATCGGGATCCCAAATCTTGTTGTCCTGGACGTCCAAGGTTGAGATCGTTGTCTCGACCAAATGGACCAGATCATCAACACCTGGCTTTGTGAATTAGCTGGACGAAATGAATAGAATGACAAGAAACATATGGCCTGAAAAACCGATCTTGTTCCTCTGGATGGTGAGGGTGTTCAAAGACCGCAAGTGCGACAACCCCTCTATCCCTTGGCGCTGAGAAATCAATCTGCACATGCTGAATTGTTGGTCTCAACACAAACGAAGAGTGTTGCTGGCACTCAATCCAACGTGCTGCTCAACACCGTTTGTTTGGCAACCTGTCTGCGAAAAGCTCCTATAGAGGGTTCTTACAGCAAGAGTCAAGGCGTGGTGTCCTTTGAGATCGTGCGAACAGTTGGCCGGCTGTTTCAGACAGATTCAAAAAATCTTTCAATTTGCAGATTTCGTGGCACGGGTGAGATATCTTGCATTGTTGGATGGCCCAGATTTTTCAGCAAACTGCATGAATGAACTTCGGAAAAATAGAAAGAGTGCCAACGTAATGTGGTCAGGTGCTCACTTTTCAACTTTGCTCTTTGGTGGGCGCCTCAGCCGATTCATACAATCTCATGGTAATATCCTTCATTGGTTATGATGTCAAGAGGTGCCTCAGAACTAAGTAACTAGAGGCTGGAGTGTAATGTTGTGTCTGTGTGAACCACACTACATTCATAGGTTGCACATGCTTGAGAGCTGGGCAATTCTTGCGCAGTGCAGCATGGGGGACAAGCTCTGACATCACACATATTTAAAGAAGAGAAGCGGTCGCTGGTAACAAATGCGCTTGCAAATTTATGGTCATGCGTGTCCGAAGTTATTTCCGCTCTGGCCTAGCCTGTTTAGGTCTGAGCAGGTCTACCGGCAGCTTGCTGACTGCGGCAGTAAAAAGCAATGCATGAATGCATGGTCGTAGAAAGGACTGCTCTAACCTGTCAGTTGATCGACAGGACAACCTGAACTTTCGAGAATGCTTGCTTGGGAGGTTCTCGACTGTGAGATTCTAAGGCTCATCTCCCAAGCCATTGCCATCTAAACAAAGAGGTGAGTCGGCAGATCTATCAAGTCCAATCTTCTAGCACTGCCCAAGAATATCTGAAAGGATCCCCGGTGGCAACACTGAGTTCCAAGGTCCCAGCTTTCGATAAAATTATTGTTGAGGTTCAAGTTCCACAGAAGTGGACAGCCCTCCAAGCCCTCAATCCTAGGCCCACAAGCCTACCCAGTGCTCAACAATTGGAGCTCAATCAGCTCTCCAGCTGAGAATGCGGCTTCTTGATGCAGTTTTCCTTCAAGAAGAAAATTGTATACAAAGATGTGTTATTGTTCCAACAGGTATTGCTGGTGTATATAGAAGCTAGCAGCTTATTTTTGCAGCCCCTCCAAAATCTCCAAAGAAAGGCGAATAGAAACGGGCCAACATGCCAGCCTGGAGAAAAAGACTACGGAGATTCCGACAAGAAGAAAGGCCACTGATTCTATCGAAGGCATTGCACTCGCCATAAAGAGCCCGCAGGCCAGTCCTCTCAAGCAATGAAATACCACAAGCACGAACAAAGCAACCCAGTCAAAAGGCAACCGGCTCGAGTCCAGCCCTCAAGATTCTTCAGTTCCTTCCAGCCCTGACGCATTTGCTCTCTCAACCATCGACAAAATCTTGACACTGGCCAGGAGCTTCTCTAGCGCCGAAGGCCTTGTACTGGATGAAGAGTTTGTCATTTAGTTCTTCAGAACGGTAGTACATGCGTCTGTCCTTAAGAATGAAAGCTGAAAACACCGTTATTGAATATGAAGTTCCTGTTTGTTCCTTAATTACACAAATTCTCTGTGACCTTCCTACCTTTCTCTAGCTCGGACCCAAACGCTATCGATCAGCTTCTTCAGTTCCTCTTTCGTCATATCTGTGGCACCAAATCCAAGGCGGACCTCTCCAGAAACACTGTGCTTTACCAAAGGACTGGAAAGCACTGCTTGAAAGACTATCCAAGAGTTCCACATGGTCCCATGAAGCCTCCTCCTCGTGCTTTTGGCGAGCGGCACGATACTCAGCCTCTTTCACAGCTTCCCTTTTCAGGACCTAAAGTGAGAACAACAGTTGCTGCTGAGAAATGAAGCTTGAGTTCAAGGCTCCGGCAGTGGCATGCAAGGCTCTATCCAAATCTGAAGCGGACATCACCTTCTTCGTTTCAGTTGCAAAACGCAGAACTCATTCACTAATTCACTAGAGTCAAAACTCCAGGACTCACTCTGAGTTTAGCTGAGACTCTGCGTCTCCGAGCGAACTGGCACTGGGGGACTTCAAAGCATTGAATTCTGAGCCATTCAGAGCAGCATGCAGAAATCATCTCCCCGTTAACCACATCTGAGCAGCAAGCTGTGCAAGTGTGCAACTATCAACCCAAGCAGCTGTTTTTCATGCTGGCTAAATGCGCAGAACAATCCTGCCAAAGATTGATTTGCCATGTTCCACCTTAGGACAAGGAGTTCCCTGCACAGGTTAGCATGAAGTGGAATACCACAGTTCCGAAAAGGGGATGACTCAGTGTCTGAAGTCCCCCCGTCGTGGCCACTACGTGTGCGGCTTGGGACGAATCGGAGGTTGGCACCTCAAGACTCTACACCTCGGTCCATCCAGGTGTGCAGGAGTGTTTTCATGAAGAGCTACCTGAAGAGCTTGTGTGGATGGACTGTGCAGGTGCTGCGAGTCTCCCACCCCGGTCACCAGCAGGATCTCGATTTTCCCACGCCCACCCGTGCCCAAACACACACTAGATTCAGGAAACGTTGTGTAATCACATCCGGTGGGTGTGATAGCGGGCAAAACTTGGTGGGTACTGCAAACCTTCAAGACTGACAGTAAATGTCAGAACCGTATGTCGATTGGAGGCGTATGCTTCGATGCGGGCACTTCCCTCCTTCGCCTCTCCTCTCCTCTCCTCTCCTCTCCACTTTTGTCTCTCCTCTCCTCTCTCCTCTGTTCTCTCACCCTCCTCTCTTTTCGTCTCTGCCCTTCGGGGACCTCCGAAAATGCAACTTGCATCTTTCTCTGGCGGGGGTTGGGAACATGTAGCTTACATGTTCACAAATCTCGCCCACAGTGCCGGATTGCCACAGTTCAGACCACTTTGCCAGCTAACCGACAATTTTGGAGGTTCCTCGTTCTTCATTACTTTGATTGTTTATTCATTTTTAAAGACCTTTCTTCGCTTTGCCCTTTGGATATGTTTTTTTTGGTTTTATGTTTCTTTGTTTCCTTCAAACGTTTTTCGATTTGTTTTTTCTTCCTGTCGTTCCTTCTTCCTTTTGGTTACGGGAGGGGCCACGCATGGAAGGTAACCGTATGAATCTTTACTTATCTAGCTTCCAGGTGTTCCTATCTAGGCATTGCTTTAGGCTAGGTCTAGCTTACATTTTTGTGAGGTGCCTTCCTTCCTTCCTTCCTTGCTCGCTTGCTTGGTTGCTTCCTTGTTTTCCTTTCTTGTCTCTCTGGATCTTTCTTTCAGTCTTTCATTTTTTCTTCCTGTCATTTTCGACCCTGCTGGGGTTCTTACTCCAAGTGGAGGAAGAGGTGCCTGCGTTCGCTTTGTAGCCTACCCTGGAGCGCCACCACACCTTGCAGCAGCGCCAGCGCTCAGGCTCCAAAGCACACATGGCCATACACGTCCTCACACGGCCATGGACATCTCGCTGCCTGCAGCAGCGCCAGCACCCAAGCTCCAAAGCGCGCACGGCCACATGTCTGGCAGTGGCACCATGCAGCGGCACCGCTGCTGCGAGATGTCTACGGCGGCGCTCGCTGTGTGTAGTGCCACTCAGAGTGCTGCAGAGAGTCTCTGCAGGGCGCTGCTGCCAAATGCTGCGCTTTGGAGCCTGGATGGTTAAAGTATGTATCTGTGAATGCGGTCCCTCCGTTGATCCTGCCCTCATGTTTGGCGACCTGTAGGCACAAGCGCGTACCTTCAGGTGAAAAGAGTTTCGCTAGACCGTGTTCACATTGCGAGCGCTGAGCTAGCGCCACGTTCCGTGTGTGCGGCTTCTTGGGCCTTGGGCGCTTTGGTTTAACCTTTGCTTGACTTCGTGAAGTAGTAGGTGGCTGTGGTTCCCAAAGGTGCATCTGGGGGTCTACGTGGTGTGACAGGGCGCGATGCACCTGGTCTGGGGATGCAGCGGACAGGAAGGGGAGGACGTTCACAAAGCAGGGGTTGAGCACGAAGGGGTCGTCGGAGCTCAACACATATAGAGCGGAGACAATGGAACGCCAGCTACTGCAGCGGCGCTACCGGTTTGGGCCATGGGGTTGAAGCCCAACCACAAGAACATGGGGCACCCTTCCAAAGGTGCCCATCGTCAACAAGGAGCAGGCCCACATATTCTGATAAGGCGCTAAGGTGGATTCCAACTACCCACTAACTCGAACGACTAAAGGCGGCAGGATCAACATGATAGAGACCCTCTGTTGATCCTCTCCTCATTTTTGCCGACCTCGAGGCACGGATGTTTTTTTGTTTAAATGTTTTTTGACAGTTGTATGTATCTTTTGCTATTTGTGTTCCTGTGTTCACGCCACTGTTTTGGAGGCCTCCGAAATTATAACTTTCCTGTTTGCTTTCTTCTGCCCTTTCTTTGTTTCTTGCTGTTTCCTTCGGTCCTTCTTTCCTTTTTCCTCCAACATGTCGTTCTTTCTTCCGTTGTTTCTTCCTCGTTCCTAATTGCTTATGACCCGAGGGGCCACGCAAGGAAGATCTATTCGTTGCTTTACGCATCTTTCGTTCTCTAATTTCCATATGTTTTCTTTTGGGGTTTCTATATAGATGCACCCACTACATGTTTGTGAGGTTTCTTTCTTCCTCTCTTTTTCTTCCTGTCTACCTTCCTTTTTCTCTAGCTACCGTTTAACCGGGGGTGCCATGGAAACTATATTGACTGCTTTTCCGGCGCGAATCTTTGGCGAACTTGTTTCCTCGCATTTCCTTTTCAGGTTCTAGATAAATACCGTGGCATTGGATGCCTCAGTCTAGCCTGCTATTTTTTGAGGTTTCTTCCTTGCCTTTGTCTTTAAAACCTTTCTTCCTACGTTTTTCACTCCTTCCTTTCGTTTTTTTCCCCTTCTTCCTAGTAACCATCTTGTCATGTAAGGACGTTCTTCCCACTGTCTTTCCTCTATGTATCTTTGGCTATCTATATAGTTTCCATATTTGTTTCCGATGCGTTCCGATGTACACGCCACTGTGTTGGAGGTCTCCGAAATTGCAACTTACATTTTTGGAGGTTCCTTCCTTCATTCCTTCTTTCTTGTCCTGTCCTGTCCTGTCCTTTACTTCCTCGTCTCCTCGCCTCTCTTGTCTCGCTCTCGTTTCTCTCTCTCTCTCTCTCTCTTTGCGTGCGTGTGTATTTGTGTTTCTATCGAAACACTTTCCGCACGACGCGGAAATACATGAACAAAACCTCCCCGTGAAAACCTTCCTTCCTTGAACCTTGAATTTTTACCAATCAGCGTCGCCCATGATTGACGTTCAATCAATGCCGTCGAAAAACGCTGTATCAACCGTCACCTTTTTAGGTGTTCCTGTGTTTGTTCTCGTTTCTTTCTGCGAGCCATCTTGAACCTACCAACGAGGTGACGGGACCCTAATCAATAGGCCAAGCCGAATGCGTTTGAGCGGTCAGCTTGCGCGTGAAACGACGCCCCTTTTACACCGTCAATCCGCTCACAACCGCGCAAGAAGGGCGCATTAGCGACTTCAAGCGCGCCGAGGCCCGGAGCAAAAACAATTTGTTCCAGCCGAATCCCTTCAGGGTTCGAAGCAAAATCGCTGCCCGGTTCTACAGCCGGAGCGCGCGCTTGTCAGCGGCAGTTCACTGACCAGGGTACAGGTCCTGTGCAACAAGCTGTGGCGCAATCCCGTTTGAAAAACCAAGGCCGCACACTGTAAACCTTCTGAGTCCTGTAAGAGGAATTCCCGCTGCTTTCGAAACCACATCCGACGTTGGCTGGAGCGGCGCTCCAGGATCTGACACAAAACGAAGCCCGGGAGACCCGGTCTTTCAAATCGTGGTCGTTTCCAAGAATGAACAGGGCGACAAACATGGTGCGCAAGTTTCTATGTCCCGCAGAAAATGCTATTGTGTCACAGACTGCCTAAAGGCGAAAAAAGAAACAGCAAGTAGGTCTGCTAGTCAAAAAGAGCGTGCAACGCGTCGACATTCACGCAATTTTGTTCCTGGCTCTGCCACCGATACAGCTTGTGCTCTTGCGTGAAACCTGAGAAGCTGCAAAACGAAAGCCAGCGCTTCCCTTTCTCGACAACTTCGCGTTAGGGGTTCAGATAGGCACCTCTCAGGTATCGAAGGCAGTCTTCCAGGCCAAGGGAGCTGAAGAAAGAAACCGGTGTTAAAATGGTTGTTCCGAGGCAATGCTTGAACCTTGGGATGAGCTAAAGAGAAAATGAAATGCACCGGTGTCTTTGGCTCAAGTGTGGCCGGAGAGCAAGAGCCGATACAGGTGCTGAACAGAGTGTTTTAGGGCAGCAAACCCCTGGTCCCAGGCCACCTTGCATTTAGCTTCATAAACATTCACGCGCGCGGACCCAACAGCGACTTGCGTTTAGCTTGATAAACATTCGCGCGCGCCCCCCCCATCGACCTTGTTGTAGCGGGTCTTTTAGGAGCGGCCTTAGCCAGGTATCCTTGTTTGAATCTGGTCTTCATTTTTGAGGTGGCCTGAACAATGGTTTTAGGGCAGCAAACCCCTGGCCCCAGGCCACCTTGAATGTCGTTTGAAAAAACATTCTGTTTAAAGTCTTTTTCTTGCCACACATAGATAATTCCCATCCACATGCAGATGATGCATAAGCAAAAAATGCATTCTTGCGTCACCACCCGTTCCAAAAGCATCAAAGCATCACCTCCCAGAGTTTACGTATATCTTTCTCGGGCCACCCCCCTCAGACGCCCAACCTACTCACTTCGTTCGCCAAGCGCAACTCAGCTTTGAGGTGGCCTGAACATAGTGCTTGAGGGCAGCAAACCCCTGGTCCCAGGCCACCTCGAAGTTTGCACGAAAACCCGTCTACTTAAACGAATGCACTTCCTCAGGTGATCGAATCTGGAAGCCTTGACGCCTTGTCAGATATACACCCAAGGACCCTCGCTTCACATATCTTCATTTTTGAGGTAGCCTGAACATGTTGTTTTAGGGCAGCAAACCCCTGGCCCCAGGCCACCTTGCATTTGGCTTGGTAAACATTCCCGCGCGCGGGCCCAACATCAACCTTGTAGCGACAAGATCTTTTTAGGCGCGGCCTCTTGGCCATGTACAGGCATCACCCGAGGCCTCCAACCATATCCTCTAAACTGTAGCTACCCAGGGCCCGTCTAAATGCTATTGCGCTATACCTCTGCGCCGCTGTCTTCTGTGCTATACCTCTATTCTCCGCGCCCTGGAGAGCTACCGCTGCACAATCTCTGTGTCTCTTTACACAAAATGCCAGGTTACACAGAAAGACGGGCTTGCGATCAAACATCCTATGATCCAGTGCTCCAATGATGTTGCACTTTTTCCTCTCCAGTCTCATTAGTGCTCTAAATTTGGGTATGTCGGAAGCATAACACAATAGCATTTATACGGACCCCAGGTAACTACAATTCAGTTGCATGGTAAAACACTTCCATGGTATAAATGCATATAGCGTTTATAATTGCTCTCCTTCTGAAAGATGTTACTCACTCACAGCTGCACGAAGCTATACTTGCATTTCTTGCATCACCACCCGCTCAATAATCACAAAGAATCACCTCCAAACCAACCTCAAAAACCTTCCGTCGGTGCACCCTCCTCCGGCCCCAGCATGTGCCAAGTTCACGTGTACCTTTTGCGGGCCACCCCCCCCAGACCCCCTTACCTACTCAGTTCGTTCGCCAAGCACAACTCAGCTGGCGCCTTCTACGAAGGCTGGCTTTCGTAACCCATGCCAAAGACCTTTACATCAAAATGTCCTTGCTCTGCTTCTTCAAGTTCTCATGAATCGCACCATGCGCAGGTGACTGATGCGCTGTGTGACGTTGCCGCCTTCATGCGAAAATGGTGCTGGCCAACCCGCGCGCACACGCTTGCGTGTGATGCCCATGTTGTGAAGTGTAAGAGAGGGTCACTCTTATGGTATTTTGCAACTCACGTCTGCGTCAAAAATCTTTGCAACAAAACACCCAGGCCCACGCCCTCGACGTAAGTTGATCGCAGACGAAAATTTGGCCACAGCCCACAGCGCCAGCCATTTACCAGATGCACTGCGCCCATGTGACACCAGGCCCTGTTGAGCGTGCCAATCACCTCAGATCCTCGCCGCCAACGCCACCTTTACACTCCAACTTCGCAAGGCACAGAGCCGCGCAGACGCACTTTCCACATAAGCCTGTCGCCCAACTGCGTGACGCGGCGATGTCGCCCACTTCGCCACGCTGCGTGCCAGTGTTTAGATTAGGTGCAACAACGTGACCCCAAGTCTTGTTACTTGCTGACACCGCAAACCATCCCGCTCACCAGCGCCGCGCACGCTTACAGGGGATCAAGCCGTTCGTGGTGCCTGCAACGTTGCTCGTTCATTGATGAACTGCCAACGGAACTACGCCGTGAGCGAGTTGCCTTGGCAAAAGCTGTTGAGACAACAACTCAAGACAAGGTTCGCATCATTGAAGCCATCACTCGAGATGATCAAGATGCGTTGACCCCAGAGTCGGTAGGTAGCCCCTTCCCCAATGGCAGGGGCCGTTTAACGCACTATCCGCCAAAGCCCGCCCGCGTGGAAAAGCAGCGACAGCACAGGCGCGGTTCTGTTTATACCGTCACTTACTGGTCAGTTTGATGTGACAAGAAGCCTCGTTGACACCGCAAATCATTCCGCGGCATTTGCGGGCGCGTGTTTCCCATACGGCGCGAGCCATGCGAGCAGTCTTTCCACCAAACGTAATTTAACCTGCAAGACTCAGACGTCGCTCCACGTATTCTATCGGTGCTCCAAACCCAGTTCTGCGCCAAAACATCTCTACACAGTTCTCGGCCCGCAGCTGAGCGCACCCAATCCACATGCCATGGAGTTCCCAGGTGTCGGGGCTCCGTACACTTGCGCGACAAAGCCGCCAACCCCGGAACCCCCAGAAGTGCGCAGGGCTGTGTTTGGCCGACTGATTCACACTTTGGAGATCTCGACGATGTTTTCACGCTTTGGTGACAAGTACCTTCATTGCTAATCGGCAGTTTCATTTGGCAAGGACAACCTCACACATGTTTGGTGACGCCCACCTTCCCTGTTCGATGACAGCTTTATCGACAACAGTCTCACACTTTGGCCATCGCAGCCTCTATGTTCAGTTCACACTTTGGCAAGCGCGTTTTCTACCTCAACTTCGAGCGCGGAACACGCATGATCCTTGCAAAGGGTCGTGCCGGCAAAGTCATTTGCATTTTACCTCAGCTTCCGGCGCTCGATTGGTCCTCGCAGAGGGTTCACTTTCGTGGTGTCTCGTCTGCCCTGCCCTCTGCCTAAGACAGAGGAGTCAAGGAAGAGAGAAGACGTGAGATGATATGTGAAATGTGATTCAAATTGATACTATTGATGCTATGAAAAAGGGCTGACACCAACAGGAACCAAAAGGATATACTTGACTGGGTCTGGTCAGATTGCCGAAATCTGGACAATCGGTCGTGGCGAAGCCAATACTCGCACCTGCTGGTGTAGGTTCTTTCAAAGAACATCACTATGCATCGACTTCATAGTCCACGCCCTCGTCGTGTGTCTGCTTGCCCAGTTGCTACGAGCAGTGTATGCGGGTGGCGAGGAACAAAACAGTGTATGCGGGTGGCGAGGAACAAAAACTCGGAGCGCTTGCTACAAAGATGTTGATACTGTATTAGCCTTTGGTGACGTTTCTGGTTTGCAAATTAGCAGTGTGTATTGTGTGAAGAAATAGAGTACAATCTAATATAGAGTAATCCTTACGTTTCCGCGGACAACGAACACCTTTAAAGCCTTTAAGCATTATTGAATGTGGAGGAATACGGTGCAAAACGAACGGGAGTTGAAGGTAAGAAAGGCGACGAACACAAGAACAAAACAGCATGCTAATCATAATGGCAATGCAGATTCAAGCGAAAAGCCAAATCTGGCATAACGTGGTCTCCCAAATATTTATCAAACTCCAAACTGATGAATCAGTCTGGCTTACCCGGGCAGTCTTGCGAGAACATTTGCAACAATTTGCAAGCAAAAGTTCACACGAATTTGAAACACACAGGGCATGAGAAACTCCTGCGCAACCTGCAATGATCTCTGATGTGATTATCGCCTGCCTTGTGGCGGCCTTTGGTGATTATCTGCGGTGGGCGCGGCGCATTGTAGTGACTTAGTGACGCGGCGCAAAAGTCCTTAAGCAAACAAGAAGTGGTTTGTACCGAAACCAACTTCGAACAAAAATAGGAAGGGGCGCAAAGAATTAGCAGGAGGACAAATGTTTGCAATGAATGCGTGTAAACGGCGGTAGACGGAAACAATCTGAAAACTAACTCCGCACAACTCGTCGCGCGCCCTCCTGAACATAAGATGCCTCCGTGTCGGCATCCCAGGCCTCAGGCAGCAACCACCGAGTCTCAGCTCAGTGCAAAGCAGCGAATGCAAATAATCTGTCAAGGCTCCTACCATGTCTTGTGGCAACTTGGGCTGTGCGACCTTGCCTGACCAAGGCGAGAGCGCACATATTGAATAACCACAACACTAACACATGACAAAGCTCGGCGCCTTCGCCAGCAACCAAAGCCTGCTGCAAAATACAACCCCCAAAACATGAAATGGCGCTCCGCCAAGGCTGCGCCTCCAGCACCAAAAGTTCCAAGGCAACACCACGAGCAGCTTCTCGCAGCCTGCAAAAATCACGTCAATCGAAAAAGGGTCAGCTATGCTCAGCGCAAGTGTGCTTGATTTGCTTATAGCACTGGAATTGATGATCTGGGTGAAATTGGCTCAATGGCCCAATTGAAAGCGTTCCACTCGGTCAAAAAGGAATTAGCACCAAATGATTTCTGATCTGACAAGTATCACCGTCGTCGCTTCTCACTGCCCTAGTTCTTTTACTTAACTTCTTCCCGGGGTCTTGAATTTTGCGCAACCTATGTTGAATTGCTTTTGCTTGGACCTACGGATCGCACTTCTTCTGTGCACGGGTGGGGCATGCAACCATTCCGTTATTCACAGCGCTTCGCGCACGAAGCCGCCCGCACGGAGTGTGTGCGTCTGTTTGGGAGTGTGTGCGTCTGTTTGTCTGGTCTGTCTGCCTGTCTTGTTCGGGCAGGACACACGGAAGAACACACGCACGATGTCAATAGTCTGTCTCGGTCGGTCTGGGTGTCTGTCTGTCTGTCTGCCTGCCTGCCTGGCTGGCTGGCTGGCTGCCTGGCTGGCTGGTCTGTCTCTCTGTGTCTGTCGGTCTCTCTGTGTCTGTCTGTCTCTCTGTGTCTGTCTCTGTCTGTCTGGGTCTAGATCTGTCTGGGTCTGTCTCTGTCTGTCTCTGTCTGTCTGGGTCTGTCTGGGTCTGTCTGTCTGTCTCTGTCTGTCTCTGTCTCTGTCTCTGTGTCAAAAACCACATGCGATCGTTCCCCCCCAAAAAACATCAAAAACCACATGCTCAATACCATTCACCTCATCCAGTCGGACTGGGCACACGACCGAACACAGAACACATCCACGATATCAATCGTACAGTATCCCGCGGCTTGCCTAGACGTTTGCGATGTCTGCGATGTCCACCGAACACATCCACGATATCAATCGTACAGTATCCCACGGTTTGCCTCGACGTTTGCGCTTTCTGCGATGTCCGTAATGCACTCTCCCCCGGCCGACACAACCGGCATCGCATATCCATAGCGCAGCGCCCCTCGGCTTCCCGAGACGTCTGTGATGTCAATTATGCGATCTGGCCCGACCGGCATAACCGGCATCACCAACGTCTGGTCCAATTTTGATCCATTTTCAAAAAACATTGAAAAACACAGCATTTCAAGGAGAAAAATGCCGCCCCCCCCCCCAAGCTAAAGCTTGGGATTTATCTATAGCCGGATTCCGTGCGATGTGGATGTACACGAGCTGACGCAACGCCCTCGGCACCTCCGGCGCGGGCGGATTTCACGGATGGAATCGGGGCAAACAGTAGTTTGCAGGTCCAACATTTGTCTTGTCGGTGGTGGGCGACACATAACAAGGAAAGTAGGCAGCACCTCGCGCAGCAAAAGCACAAAACAGCCTTGGTTCTTCTAGCTGTTCCCGGCTTCCAGCCACCAATTATATCCGCCGAATCCGGCTCAAGCAAGGACGCGTAAGGGAATACAGGTATTGTAGTCCAGCAGAAAGTCTGACGCGTTGAGAGAAAGACTGGGAGTGCCAACCTTGAGCAGAAGAGGCCAGGTTCGTATTCTAGAGGGTCTGGATCCTTATGCTTTTTGGCGCGTGGAAGATCGCGCGTAGATCGCACGGCGTAGTTCATAGGCCAGGCTCGTTAAACAACTACTACTCTAGAGCTCTAGAGCTCTAGAGTAGAATAGAATAAAGAACTATAAAGTACCACTATTCTAGTTTTTTCTAGTGGTCCAGACGCCCTGTTTGGCATCGAAAGTTCGGACATGGGAGGCCTGAGAGAGAAGCTCCGAGGGCGAATGTCGTTTTTGGGGTGGAATGAGATTGTGGAATGCTGTGGCGAAGGAGATTGCCGACTGCCTACAGCTGTGCAGAAACCAGTACCTTTCTTAGACCGGTGTTTAAACTTGAGGCATGCTGCAGCCCCACAGAAAAGTCCTGGCATGTGCTCCCTGCAATCTAGCCTGAAGCTTGGTGGATGTGTTTCGTTTTCACTGGGTCATGGTGAGCATAACTGAGCCTCTACTTTTTGGATGATAACAGTTCTTGGCTCCACAGCTATGAAACGGCCTGCGTGCAGAGCAAAGCTCGAGCGCCCTATCAAGCGCCCTGCGAAATCGTTGCTCGACTCTGAGTCCGAAGAGGCTGACAAGGCCAGGTGACAAAACAACATGTCATTTTACCCTGCAAAGCAATTCCAGCAGGCCGCAGGGACTTTGTTCCAAGATGAGCCAGATGAAATAGATGAATCGCGCAGCTTAGTCACACATCTTTACACAGTGTTTTAGGCAAGAATTTTGAAACAACCACTGATCCTGTGACAAGGAAAGAAGAAGTGTGGCGCTTGGGGAGACTGGGACGGCATTAGATTGTGGACGGGAGCTCCGAGCGCAGGTCCTAGGATGAATTTTGCCAACAGTGAGCAGAAGAGGCCAAGAGGGTCTGGATAAACTTTCGGAACGCTAACCGCATGCTTTTTCGAGCAGAAGGCACATAGGTCAGGTTCGTATCCTTTTCTAGTCATCCAGACCCTCTAGAATATTGTTTTTTCGAATGATCCAGACACCCTGTTTGGCATCGACAGTTCGGACATGGGAGGCCTGTTTTGGAACAGAATTAGATGGGGGAAAGCTGAGCGCAGGTCCAACAACTACTACTCTAGAACTCTATAGAATCGAACAACAATAGAATAAGCAACTACTACTCTATTTTTCTCGTGATCCAGACGCCCTGTTTGGCATCGAAAGTTCGGACATGGGAGGTCTGAGAGAGAAGCTCCAATTGCGGTGGAATTAGATTGTAGAATTCTGTGGCGAAGGAGATTGCCGGGAGCCCCAAGAGCAGGTGCGAGGACAATTTTGAGTCGTTTTTGGGGTGGCGTGAGATTGTGGAATGCTGTGTGGCGGAGGAGATTGCCGGGAGCTCCGAACGCAGATCCAACAACTGCTACTCTAGAACTCTAGACTAGATTAAAATAATAATAGAAAATAGATAAACAACTACCACTCTATTTTTTCTAGTGATCCAGACGCCCTGTTTGGCATCGAAAGTTCGGACGTGGGAGGTCTATAGAGAAGCTTCGAGGATGAATTTTGAGTCGTTTTTGGGGTGGAACAGGTCCGAGTGAGCGAGTGTGAGGGAGAGTGAGTGTGAGAGTGTGAGTGTGCGCGTGTGCCAGTGTGAGTGAGAGCGAGTGAGAGCCTGCGAGTGGGAGAGTGAGTGGGTGTGAGTGTGAGGAGTGTGGCTGTGAGTGGGAGTGGGAGAGTGAGTGCGAGTGCGAGTGTGAGTGAGAGTGAGAGTGTGAGGGAGTGTGAGTGTGAGTGAAAGCGGGAGAGTGAGAGAGTCATGAGCATCTGAGAGACCAAGCGCTGTGCCTGCCACGAAATCTGCACTCCGAGGTTCACGATGCGCTGTGCCTGCCACGAAATCTGCACCTCGAGGTTCGCAGTGCTGCACCTGCCACGAAATCTGCACTTCGAGGTTCATAAAGTGCTGTACCTGCCATGAAATCTGCGCTTCGAGGTTCACAAAGCGCTGCGCCTGCCACGAAATCTGCACTTCGAGGTTCACAAAGTGCTGCGCCTACCACGAAATCCGCACATCGAGCGTCACAGAGCGCTGTGCCTGTCACGAAATCTGCACTTCGAGGTTCACAAGGTGCTGCGCCTACCACGAAATCCGCGCATCGAGGGTCACAGAGTGCTGCCTGTCACGAAATCTGCGCTTCGAGGTTCACCAAGTGCTGCGCCTGTCCAGAAGTCTGCACTTCGAGGTGCTGCGCCTGCCACGACATCTGCACATCGAGGGTCACAAAGTGCTGTGCTTGCCACGAAATCTGCACTTCGAGGTTCACAAAGCGCTCCACCTGCCACGGCATCTGCACATCAAGGGTCACAGAGTGCTGTGCCTGCCACGAAATCTGCAAAGGAGCCCATGTTCAAAAGTCACGATTCACTGCACCTGTCACGAAATCTGAGCTCCTTGACGATCGCCACCATGTCCAAAGTGCTGCGCCTGCCACGATAACTGCAGTTCGAAGGAAAACAATCACTACTACCTTACCCGGGGGGTCAAAAATGTAATTTACAATTTCGGGTGTGTCAAAATGCAGGTTTTGGAAAACGGTGAAATTTGAACATACAGGTCTGACATACCTCCATCTCACAAGACAGGGGTCAAAATTGTAAGTTACATTTTTGACCCTCGTGTGTGTTCGTTCGGCCTGCGCGCACTCAAAAATTGTAAGTTACATTTTTGAGGGTGAGGGTCCATGCTTCTACCTCACCCTCAAAAATGTAACTTACAATTTCCCTTTCGGTTGATCGCAAGTTTGCACTGCGCCGCATTTTCCCTTGGAAGTGTTGGCATGTAGCGGCTGCGCCCGAAGATTCTGGCCAGTGGGAAAGGCAGTCTAATTGTAATATTTCCTGCTGGGTACACTAGGTCAATCATATAACAGAGTGAATCTGGCTCAAGTGAAACGCAAAAAGACGCCTTTCAATTCATTCAGGACACAGTCTAAGGAGGATGTGACAGGGCGCAAACAAAAGAGGCACATTTCGTAAAAGAAGGTGTGTTTTTTCATCTTTTTCTTGGACAAGGGTCATTGGAGACTCTACTAAGGTAGTGCGTGTTGCGTGTTTTTTTTCCTGGGCTGTGTCTGCCTCAACATTTATTGGAGGGCCTCACCGGTGCGGGAGGGGGGGAACTAAGTGTAATATGGCTTTCTGGCTGTACTATGGTACACCCTGTGCAGTGTTTTCCTTTCATGTTCTGGCTTCAACATTTCTCTCACAAAATTGAAGAGTGGCAGAAGGGTGTTCCAATTGTTATGTGGACTTGTTGGTGCACTAAACACACACTGCGCGGCGCTTTTCCTGGGCTGTCCTTGCCTCAACCTTGGTTGGAGGACCTCACCAATGCGGGAGGGGGGGAACTAATTGTAATATGGCTTTCTGGCTGCGCTATGGTACACCCTGCGCAGTGTTTTCCTTTCATGTTCCGGCTTCAA